GAACTTGATGGTACATATTAAATAATCACATAGTATACTTTAAATAGATATAATTATATTTGTCAATTAATCCTCAATGAAGTTAAAAAAAGAATCAAGAAAAGAAACAAACGTGACCAGCGAGCTCATGGGTCCCGCGGGAAGGATGCCCTCGGAGGAGTGGAAGCGTGCGCGCTGGCGTTACCTCCTGGGTGACCGCGCAGTCAGGCTGTCCCGTTAGTGTGGGAACCAGCGCGTCTGTGGGAGACTGGGAGACCTCATTCTACTGCAAAGTCCCTGAAAGAAAACTAAAAACTGAGGACTTGGAAACGTATGTTGCTTCCTATGCGTGCATGACAAGGAGGACAGAAAAGAAGGCTGACTTGACTAGACTTGGGTATTAGGAAACCCCGAAAGGATAGAAGGAAAAGAAGGCACAGGGCTGAGGGGGTGCTCCTAAGCCTATCCAGTTGCAGTAACCACAGCACGCTTCATCTGCCCTTGGCCTTGTCGTCCTACGTGGTCCTTATTAAAATGCAGATTTTTGGTACCCAGACAAGTCATACTACGTTAAAATAACTGGAATTTGCCTTTTTAACCCGATCCCTATACGATTCTTCAAATTCAAGAACTGTAGTTATGAGTTCATTAACATCTTGAAGAGGAAAAATTTGTAAACGCGTTATGAAATGTTTACTACTCTTTGGTGTTTATGTGCCAAAGTAAATTAAGAAATTACCCTGTACTTTATTTACTAGTAGTGTTATTTGGGTTATCCAAAGTTAATTGTATTTATGATTTAAAATGTCTGGATTTGATGAATCCTCTCAAGTGTGGTAACACAGACATAGCTGAACTACATGATCCCAATAACTGGGGGGTCTCAGGAAGTCCAAACTCTTTATTAAGTTTGCCAGACGGCTAGTTAAATAGTACAGGGTTCCCAGGTGCACTGAGGGGAGACTCCCTCTCTGGACAGAGATCCTGAGGGCAGAGGGGGGCGCAGTGATCAGGACTCACCTCCAGTTTTGTTGTAGAGCTCGCGGCAGAGTTTCTCAGCCACGTGATGCAGCGTTTCTGCGAGCTTCCTGTTCTGGGTTTGGAGAGATTGCAGCTGTCGGGAGAGATTCCCCAATCTTTCTTCCTTTTGAGAAATGCTGTCTTGCTGAGCGTTGGAGAGCTGGTAGAACTGAAAAACTAACCCGAGTTACCAAGTCAGACTGGACAGCTTATTTCTTCATTTCTATATTTATTTCTACTTTCTACATCTGGGGAAGACAAAACCGTACATTGTTTAAGAGCCAAGGCTTTGAGATCTCATATTGCCCACATTCGCGCTTGGACTCTAGTACAAAATAAATTGCGCTGCCTTAAGCAAATTAATTTCTCTGTTTCCTTATCTGAAAATGTGGAGTCACAATAACAGTTCCTAACTTCAAGGATAAATTTCTTAACCCTATTTACTGCTCAATAGGCCTTTTTGTGTACACTGTCAAACCTTTACTCAACCTAAAATCATAGACCCATTTATCTATTGATCATTCTGTTGAGTATCGACAACGTACCATGTATTGTTACCCCACTTAGTCATTGAAATCGTCATATTATAACTTCTGTATTTTTATAGCTTTGCAATTGGTCTTAGTGAGAACAAGTAATTTTCTTAATATCACTTGGCTAGAAAATTTCAACACTTAGCTTTAAACTCCAGGTTTCTAACTCTAAATAGAAAAACCCTTCATAAATCATGAACACTGGGGTGCATGTATCTTTTTGAATTAGAGTTCCCTCCGGATATATGCCTGGGAATGGGACTGCGGGATCATATGGTAAGTCTATTTTTAGTTTGTGGACTGGAAGAGGGCCCATGTTTGCAGTCATTAAAAATTGCTGAATTTAAATATTGACATATATGCAAACAGACAAAAACCTTCTTATCTCAGACAGAATGTAAAAGCCTAGTGGTAAGTGATTGTTGTATTTTAATGTCTCTTCCACGGTACACATTTTACAGAGTTGCATTACAATAAGGGACACTGAAACTATTCACAGGCTCCAGAATTTAAGTAAAAAACAAAATCCATAGCAAGCATTTCTCCTCCTAGACAAACTTTGGAACCAGAGTCCTCGCCCAGGTCAGAGCTCAGACTTACACACAAGCCCCAGAGCCGCCAGGCCCGTCAGCAGCACCAGACACAGAGTCAACAGGACCAGGGCCACCGGGCGCCAAGCAGGGGAAGGCCGGTGTCCTGCCGGGAGCAAAAGAAAAGACAGGGTTTCACTGTTTCTTCCTCTTGGATCTATGTCAGTAGCAAGTGAGTTGGTTCTGGGCAGAAGCAAAGTTTGCAGGAGAACAGTAATCAGGGGCTAGATAACATTTCCTCTGTCCTGGAAACATTGTCACAAGGCTCCCTGCCAAGCCTCACTTATCATAGCTAGATGCTGTCACAAGCCCCACCCACTTCTAGCCTCCCCGTCCACCCTGTCCTCCTTTGCACAGCATCAAGGTGGCATGACTATTATCTTTAAACGGTTGTTTGTATCACCGTCTTTTTGTCAAAATTCAAGTTGTGAAAGACCTTACGAAAATGCCTGAACAAAGAACGAGTCTTCACATCAACAGAGAAGAGATGGAATCAATTTGTTGTTACTTTTGCAAAACGCCCCCCTCCCAAGTTCCACATATGCTTCTTCTAAAAAGCAAATTGCGTATCAGTAATGAGAAACGATTGTTTGACTGTTTCTCTTTGGGATCTCTAGGTTGAAAGTCCCTCTTTTGTAGGATTTTGTTTGCTCATTCATTTGACTGAGAGCACCAAAATAGGTCATAAGAGAAACATGGTCATCAATTTCTCAACGATGGATCTAAGCAATCTCAATTTTGCACTCGCTAAGTAATTTACCAAAAAATCAAAAAATAAAAAACCTCTGGCCAGCTTCCTTCCCTCGTCCACACCGCACAGGTTGGCCTTGGGGTAACTGCAAAGACTCTGCTGAGTCACAAGTCAACCTATCACCAAGTAAGGTCAGCTGTCAGTCTGATTGACCCGCAATATCTGAGAAGGAAGACCTTCAGTCAGCTGCCAGTAGTATCTAAAACGGTGATTAAAATAAAACAGGACAGCAAAATCTTCCAACCAACTCGGGTCTCTTCATGACCTGTGAGTTTCGCTTCATCAGGAATTCCAGTCAGATTCTAAAGCAGAAAAATTAAAGACACATAAATCCCTTCCCTCTTTAGCAAAGTCCTCTACATCATATATTTTAGGTACAGAGGTTTGCGCCAAACACTATTTCCATACGGGGAATGATAACTGGTAAACATAGTATAGAAATAGAACGTAGAATCAGTATCTTTTTGGGACTTGTGACCTAACAGGGAAAATAAGTAAAAATCAGGAAGCAGACATTGACATATTTTAAAATGTGAATTTTTTTGGCGTTATAATGAATTTTTTTTTAATTGAAGAATAGTTGATTTACAATGTTGTGTTAGTTTCTAGTGTACATATATTGATTCAGTTACACATATATATTCTTTTTCACATTCTTTTTCATTATAGGTTATTACAAGCTACTGAATATAGTTTCCGGTGCTGTACAGTAGATCCTTGTTGTTTATCTATTTTGTATATAGTAGTGTACATCCGCTAATCTCAAACTCCTAATTTATCCCTCCCCTGCCCTTTCCCCTTTGGTAACCATAAGTTTGTTTTCTAAAAAAATGTGAATTTCATTTTCTCTTCATAATCATCTCCTTCATTAAAAACTGTCAATGGCATGCATTACTTTTAAAATAAAATCCACACGGCTTTTCTTAAAGACCCAGATTGCTCTTTCTTTTTAAGTTGAGGTTTTATTACGGTACTTCGAGACCTGAAAACTGCCCATGGTTTTGTTGCACTTAGAATAAAATTCTACCAGACTCTTTTTCAATTGGACCCTACCTCGTGCTTTCACGCATTTCTGAACTATTCTCTGCCAAACGCCCTGCTCTCAGGGGCTTTCTGTTTACCCCGAGCCAAACAAGCGTGGCCCCGTCGTAGCACCTCTGCATCAGCTCTGCCTGTGCATCTGCACTGATGAGTCCCCAGACGGGTTACCGGCAAGCCTCCTCCCCGTTACCCAGCTTTCCATCTACATGGCATGTCCCTGGAAGACGTCCTTGGGAGTCCATCTCCTGCACATCACCCCATCATGTATTTTTTTTAAAATAAGATTACTAAGTCATATTTTCATGACTTTTTTGGTTTTTGTCTATCTCTTTCCCCTGGAAGGTACATTCCATTAAAACTACGATCTTGTCTATCTTGTTCACCAGTGTGCCTGCAGGACTGAAAATAGCGCTCAGCACATAAGGGCTGAATACATATTTGAATGAGCAAAGGAAGGAAGAATGAAATTATGAAAATGTAATACTACTTAAACTATGCAATTTTTAGCATTATTTAAAGGCACAGAGCATTATCTAAAGGTAAACTTTACAGCTTGATTTTTTTTTTTTAATCTATTCGCGTTTCAGCAGTATTTCTGTCAGCAGAGGGCAGACTCAGCTAAAGTCACCTCCTAGCCTGTCTGGTTTCCATGCACAGATTTATGTGAGTCTGATTCATAAGCTTGTCTACTCCTGCTCAAACCTATTTATATTAATACACATCTCAAAGGCATACATTTTAAAAAGTCCTGTCCCTTTTTATGATTAATATTTCCATGGCCAAAATTAGAAATCAGTAGAACTATGGAAATCAAATTCTTTATGCCTCCAGAAAGCTACTTTTCCTTATATAATATTGAAGGCAAGGGAGATGTTGATTTTTCTGCCCAAAGGATCAAAAAGAGTGAACTGAAATCTTGATGGGAATGGAATTTAGGGACTAGAACATTATGTAATACTAATTACATCCGTGCAAAGAATAAATACATGAACCTTCTTAACGGTTGACTCTAGGGCAGAAGAAGAAAAAAGCGTAGCACAGCTCCAGCCAAGGAAACAAAGTTTAAAAAGTTCCCTTCTAAGGAATTATCTTTCCCTGATCATTTGGAAATCTTTCTGCTCCGACTCTCTGATCTTTCCCTCTCCTCCCTCCGTCTCTCCTCCCTGTTTGAACTCACAGTGTCTTCCTGTTTTAACTAAAGTCCCAGAGAAACACAGCCCTTGGGAGTTTCTACAGCAGGTATAATCATTTCCTAGGAAAGCAACTTCCAGGATGGGAGACAACACTGTTGAAAATTTTACTTTTTCTTTCTTAATGCTATTTTTCCCTCTTAATGTTATTTTTCCCTCTAGATTTTTTTTTCCTAACGGTGAGTTTCATGTTCCTGAGTTTTATTCCAAGTGCCCTGATCATAACAAGGTCTCTCTCTAGGGACCACTCCCACCTAAAATAAGAAAAATAAGCTGCCTGGGAGATGCTTCAGTTTGGCTTGGCTTTATTATGGTTTTATTTTTTTGGAAGACAGCCCCTATGCTGTCTCCTGGGGCGTGTTCAGAAAAAGGTGTGGAGAGGCCAAGGAATGATATAAACATCCCTAGGAATAATAAGAAGTATATATGAAAAAAAAACACCCCTTTCCTGTATCCTCTTACTATAACTATACTGTAAAAGGTTACAGTGCTAAGGTCATGTTTTAAATACAAATTCCTTTGTGAGTATAAGAAACTTTGTGGATGAAGAGACCTGTCACACTTGCTCAGGCATCCGAGGGAACACTTGGTACGCCCCACTCCCAAGTCCTGACACTACCAAGTGTAAACTATTCACCGTTATTTGGGTAAGAAAACGGCTGTGCCCAGGAGCTGCTGAATTTGCTTTGCGTTGAGCAGCTAGTAAATGATGGGACGGAAGGGCTCCCTAAGCGCTCTCATTCCGGAGCTGAACAGTTTAAATCACGTCCCAGTTGTCCCCACAAATCCCACAGTCATATTTGCCTTCATAAGGCAGTTCCACATGGAACTGCAGAAAGACTAGCATTTTCCTGCTTGCAACTTTACATTTCCAGATTGTGAATTATCTCAGTCATAGCCACCTTTAATCATACATTTTCCATTGCTATCCGCAAGGTGAACCGCCTACATTTAATCTCTCCCTTAAGGGAAGAATGTTTCTCAGCATGCTATAAGAGGCCCTGCATAGTAGCATTCCACCCTCCTTTTTAGCCTCAGTTGCCCCAAACCTCCCCCATCCACCCCTCCCTTCGAGGACTACCCTTTCCTGAGCCCAACAGTCTACCCTGCCGTCCTATTTGACTCTGCATATGATCCCTCAAATTATCTCATCCTGATCTAAATTCCAGTCCAAAATTCACCCCTCATCTTTTCCCTCTGTCGTCTTGTCTTCCTTCCTTGTACCCATTAATACACTGCACCCAACTAGTTCTGACCTCTCTGCTTTTACCTTTGCACACGTGATCTCACTGTGGAAAGGTCACCCCGTGCCCGTCTTGTTCTTCCTGGAAAACCTGGACTCAGACTTGCAGATGGGATCAAATGTCACCTCGTTCAAAAATACACGCATGAATAAACACACCCAGTAATTTATTCACCCCGACTTGCTTCTGTGGCCTCCCACGCACATTCAGTTGTACTACATGACACGTTCTTCTAATTATTAAATCAGATTATTCCTTCCACTTCCCCAAGCACCTAAAAACAGAGGCTCCCCAGTGCCTACCATAATGCTTCATACTTGGTAGATCTGAATGAAAGATTTGTTGAATCACGTAGATGTGATTTATGCCATGACATTTTAAGGAAGAGTTTATTCTGTAGTTGAGGAAATAAAGCTAAAAATCCAGGGAAAATTCAAGAATATTGTAATTAAGATGAGTAGGGGAAAAGTGCAACTTGAATTTATCATTAAAGGGTTTTTTTTTTGTTTTCCTTACATACAGATAGGTTTTAATATTTTTTGGTAGGATTACATTTAGTCTTCAGCAGGAAATGTGGTCCATCAGCTAATTTATTCTCTCTCTCTCTCTCTCTCTCTCTCTCTCTCTCCAGTATATTACTACTGTGAAGAGCTGTAGTTTCCTTTCTTTTCCAGCTACAGTTGAGTTAGAATCTCCCGCCCCTTAAAAAAGAATTTTTATAAGCACTCACACAACCCCGCAACTCCTCAGCTCCTAACACTTGGCCTTTTTTCTTTACAGCCAGGCTCCTCAAAAACAAAGACAGAAAGAAAAAGAAAAGAAAAGAAGTTTACTTAAATCATTTATCTGGCTGCATAACTATTAGCTCCTTTCAAACCCCTTGCTAAGAAAAGTTACCAATAATCTATCTTCCTTCTGATTTCTAAGACAACACATTGTTTCTAGCTTTCTTCTTTCTTGAACTCTCTGCCGTGTTAACTGTGTATTATTTTTTAAATGCGCTATCTACCCTTGACTCGTCCGTTTCTCTCGACATTACTGCCTCTCGGCTTCCTAGATGCCTCTCCCTCCCAGTCCACATCCATCACTCTCTACTGGCCATTCTTAGTAGCTCCTGTTGGAATCTCTTTCTCAGCCTGTTCCTGAGTTGTATCCCCTAAAATTCTCTCCTTGGCACTCTTCTCCTGGGGGTTGGGTTGGTTTGGGGTTTTTTTGCCTTTTCATTTTACATTGTCTTCCTCAGTGATCTCCCTCATTCTCACAAAGTTTAATTCCTACCTAAACGCCAAGAATTCTTACATGTTCATGTAGCTCAGAATCCTTACCTCCAACCTACATGCTGTACAGACAAGTGCCTTTGGGCAGCTCCGACTGCATGTGCCTTCTCTTACAGGCACCTCAGACTCAAACTGGATCCATCATTTGTCCTATTCCTCTTACCGTTTGTATCTCAGTTAATGGTAGACCGTCCCCATCACATCAGATGGAACCTAGTCAACCCGTGCTCTCCTTTCCCTTGTCTTCCCTCTTGTAACCAGTCACCAGTTCTTTAAACTCTGCCTCTTCGGTATCTTCCACTTCCGACCCCTCCTCCTCATTCGTACACCACTTCAGTACAGGTTTTTCCAACCTCACGTTTAGACTAGTGCACAATATGGACCTAAGCTCATCCGGTTTCACACTCCTTCAACCCATCCCCTTCACTGCCACCTAGATGGCCTTTTAAAACCAGAAAATTGTTATCCCTGTTTAAATCCATCAGTGACCTCATTTCACCTACTGAAGAATCAAAATGCCTTCGTGCTCTGTTATTTTTAGCAGTCAAATGATATCAGATCTATTTTTCTAACACATAACTAGACTTTTATGGTGACATTCCTCTAAATATTTGCATTATCACCAGATGAAAACAAAACATCCTACGTGTAGGGTCAGATAAGTAGTTTCAGATGTTCGCCTCGAAGACACTTCTTTTGTAAACTCTACTACTATTTTCCATTTCCATCCTTAAAAACAGTTGCCAGATGTTTCAGTTTGTGCTTCATCCCGCTCCACCCTGCCTCTCCGCCCCACCTCTCCACCCTCCATCCCCAGCAAAACTTATCTGTACACCCTGTTCCGGATTATGCTGATGGCTGATCCTCCTGAGAGTTCCTGGCTCTAGTCTAAGGTGAAAATGAAGTTGTACACAAGCCACTCGAAGCCACAGCCCTAAGAGCTGACTGTTCATAGGATCTGCTGGAGGAAAAGGGACCATATCCTATGACACATACCCGGTGGCTACAGAAACTGACACTCCAAAATCGTCACTTTGTTTCACATCAAGGAGGCTGGAAATCCCCAGGGTCACCTCATAACTTACTAGATAGTTTAGTAAAAATAAATCAACAAACAAACAAGTAAGTAAGCAAGTTAAAAACTGCCACAACAGTAGATCTCAGGTAGAGGGTCGTTCAATGAATAGGAAGTGAATGGGAGGAACTGGGTGGGAGGACGTGGAAAGAGAAGGAGATGGATGTAACTGGAAGAGAGAAGCAAGGGGGATGCCTGTGGTGACGGAGCCGGTCTGTATCTTGATTATGGAGTTGGTACACAAATCTGCATGTGATAAAATTGCATAGAACTTTAGACACACACAAGTGCATGCAAAACTGGCAAAATCTGGGTAAGACTGGTGGATTGTACCACTGTCAATTTCCTGCTTTTGTTAACATTTTTTAAGACCTTATCGTTGGGGGAAACTGGGTCAAGTGTACCCGGGACCTCTCTGTACTTCTTTTTAAACTTACTGTGAATCTATAATTATTTCAAAACAAACAAATAATTCAAAAAAAGAAGAGAAATGTGAATGGGAAAATTTATTAAGGGAAAGGAATAAAACTTAAAAGTTAGCTGATAAGGGAGAAAAGGAAGAGAACACTGAACAATGTGTGTCCAGATTTTAAAAAGTGAAGAAAATCTGGACATGGTCCAAAAGAAAGGACATAACTAAGATGCAGGCACTAAATGAATCTCTCTCTGATGCAGACCCACAGAAAAATTTTAAACAGAACACTTTAGGAATTCTCAAGGAATAGAATATTGCAAAGAAACATTTTTGATATATCTGCAATGTACCAGGGACTTTCTAGAGCTGTCAACCTTAACAGCTCTAGAAAGCCCCTGGCATCTTGTAAGAGCGGTTTTGTTACTTCTATTTAACATTAGTTCAAGTTAATATAAATTAATATGTGTCAAATGCTTAAAACAGGGTCAGGCACGTAACAAGCGCTATATTCATGGTTACCATCATTAGCGTCATATAAATAAAGCAGCTGAGGCCCCAGAATTTGTAATGAACTTGTCCAATATCACACAGTAAGTGGCACCCCTGGAATTAGAACCCCGTCCTGTCTCTTTTACAGTTTGGTGTCTTTCCGTTAGAACTCGAGTCACATTTCTGCCTTAGATTGGCTGAGTTCCTTAGGAAGTAAGATTCTTCTCCATGTATGTGAATCATCTCGTCTATGGACTGAAAAAATATATGTATTTTATTACCATGTCAAAGAGTGAATTACTGTAAACAAAAGCATCAGATGGAAGCTGAATGTAACTAAAATTAAGTCCTTTCACAATTTAACTTAATCATCTCAATAATATCCTAAGAGTCAACAAAACAAAAGGGGATGGGAGGGAAAGTAACTGATTCTGGGGCCACTATATCATCGAATCATGGAATTTCAGAGCTGAAAGGACCTGAGAGAGCATTTGCTTTAATCCCCTCCCATTTCACAGATGATAAAACCAAACCTTTGATGTTGGCATGGCTCTCCCCAGGCTTCACAACTTCGGGATGCAGAATTATTATAACAAAATATTAGGGTTCATGTGTCTGCTTGGAAATCCTCCTCTAAAGCCAGGAGTTCAAAACTAGCAAAAAGGTAGCTTTTATAAATCTGAAGTTTCCAGATCAATCGCAGGTGGCAAGTAAAACAGCCCTGGATCTGGCTTCCCTAGGAACGCGGGGAGGGGAGGGGACACTGCTCTAATCGCACAGGCTCCCGTCTGTGGGCAATACACCCTCAATGGCCAGCCACAAAATCTTAGGGAAAAAAAAATCCGTGCACATACAGAGTTTCATTTTTTCAGATGACCATATATGTGGCACCCAAGTGTAGAAAGTGCCAGGTTACGCGTTCTTGGAAATCACAGGCACGTTTTCTCTTCCCTCCGTTTGCACGTTCCCAGGGAGGCAGCTCATCTCACGCCCTCGCCAGGGCCCTGGCTAGTGTGCACGGCGGGAGGCAGGGTACCTGTGCGCCCGGGCTCCGGCCGCTGGGTTGCGGAAGAGGCGCCAGAACGCAGGCTCGTGGTGGTGTCCCCGTCAGCGTCCAGCATGTCCCGCGCGCTGCTGCGCTTGGCCTGCATCCGGATGCCTGCAGGGCCGCCCGGCGGCTGTGAGACGGCGGCGCCGAAGCCCGGGCACTGCGGGGCATCC